TAAGTGTGTCCAAAATGGGATGCGAAAAATCAAAACATTTTATCCTCAAGACCAGTTCCCTATTAGCTTACCGACAGGCTTAACAACGGGACACTTTTTAATGATACTTCACGGGTAAAGAATGAGCCACCACCCTAATGATTTTTGCCGCAACTGAAGGGACGATAAAGAGGAAGAGTGTATTGGCCACCACCGCTGTCACTGTTCAGCCTTGACATCTGCGCGACATATGTTCCTCGGCAAACATTTCATCGACTGTCTTCACTGAGCTAACTTTAGCAAAAATTTGTAATCTCGTTGCTTTTGTAAGGTACACGAAATGGCTCGAAAATTTGAGAAAGCGAACACAGGAGTTTCAAAGCGGTATCATAATTTGGCTTTTGGCATAAGTGAGTTGGCCACTGACCAATAGCCTCATCAAGTTAACTCAACCGGTGACGAGCTCCTCCGCCAATTCGTGGTGTATAGTTTAATGTTTTTCCAACAAATGGAGAAATAGTTTATGTTGGTCAGACCGGGTCACCGAATATAGTATGCGCTGTTAGTCACAAGGCTTTCAATGAATTTTCGATAAAAATTCTACAACCCGCAATTCATTATGGGTATAAAAAAAATGTTTCTCCTTTTCTGATCTTTTTCTCATTTGCATATAAAGAGTGCATTTTTTATTTGAATGCATTTTTTCCTACATCATACATTTGTGTGACGCGCTGTTGCCGTGTCTATACTTCAGTTGCAACATATAATCGATTTATAATTTTTTGTTCCAACTCTTATGAATTGTGTTGTTAGTCCGATTTGCTTGTTGTTGCTATTGTCATCACCATCATTCTTATTATAATAATTTTTTTTTTCGTTTTTTTTTTTTTTGTTGAGGGGAATCTTCAACGTTGCAAGGGAGTACTTTATGATTTGTTTGATCATTTTCTTTTACTCATGTTTTATGTTTTTTTTTTTAATTTTTATTGTTGCTTTCTCTACTGCCCATACAATTCATTTTGGACCACCAGCGCTGTTGGTCGTCGTTTCAGCTTGTTGGGCATGTTTTATTAAATACATTCTTTATACCACTTTTGTTACCTTTATTATGAGTTTATTTATTTGGACAACAAGTACAACATAAGCTGGCATAAGGAGCGACATGTTGTTGTTTTTGTAACACTTTTCGATACTCTGCCACTTAAATTTTTTTCTTAAATGACTCTTGTTTATGATAACATTTATATTGTATGCGAGCACCATTCTTCCTTCCTCCCCTCACTCCACACTCCAACATATCACAAGCTCAATTGATAGCTATGCTACGTTTATTTGTTTTTGTAATTTACTTATTTGATATTTTACTTTTATTATTTATTTCCAGCTCCCTGGGTAGCCAGCCAGTCATTACTGCATCAATGGGGGCAAAAAAAAAAGACACTGTGGCGTTAGTGTCGATGGCGCTGAAGTGGTTGATGCGTTTCTGCATGCTCTACCACCACAACGACTGCTCTGTCTTCTCCTACTATTTACTGTTGCTTGAGTCGTCTCAGTCATTGCTGTTGTGGTTTATGAATAATCATTGGCCATCAACGGCATTTCATCGTCGCAATCACTCTTCAACCATTTCGTGCTTGAGTGTTAATTAAAAGCAATGTTGAAGTTGTACAATTTCTAGGAATTTCCTTTATACATTCGTTGCCTTTTCTGAATGAATTTTTACTCTCTTGTTGTTGATACTTTTAATGTTGTAAATCATAAAAGCAACGAACATTGAAAGAATACTTTTAATGGCTCTTAACGAGAGTGCGTATAGAACTTGTCTTCGAGCATTTTCCCATTAAAAAAAAATCACTAAGTATACATTTAGGAGCAAAATTTGCATTATAATTAGCTCAACTTAAGTTGAAACGGTTATTTTCAGCGTCAATGAAATTGGCCACTCATAAATTAGAGACACTAAAGTTTTCCAATAAGTATCCTTGAGCAAAATTATTATTATCTTATGAAACACGAAATGTTTTTTTTTAATTCTCACACAACGGAAAGATGCGGAGGCAAGTCATGCACGTTATAGTTTCATTTTGCTTACAAGTTGCTCGTCTCTCTATGAAGGGAAAGAGACAGAGAGAGAGAGAGAGATACAGAGAGAAATAGAGATAGACAGAGTTAGTGTGCCCCAATGAAAATTTTACACATATTATATCCTTTTATACCTATGATTTGTGTTGAACCTAGTATCACACTTCAGATTTTTCAATTGTTTTATATAATAATATAATAAGTATTAGGACGTTCGACGTATCAGCTCCTTGACTTCTGGATGAAAAGTACTGAGTCTTAGAATAGGCTTCTTGTTTTTAAGTAGACAAGTGTGAGCTACGAAGAGAAGAAAATTTTTATTTTGTATTTTTTCAAAACTGGGATGCAGAGTTCTCATCGATCTTCAGAGCTCCCCGATGAGTGTATGAAGATAAATATCCCACTTCTGTTTTTTGAATTGGTTTTGTAAAAGTATAAGTACTAGCATTTTTCGACCTATCGAATATCTTATACAGTTCATCGACTTCTGGACGAAAAAAAAATCTTGTTACTTATAAAGTTGATTTGCGTTTAAGTAGTTAAGTGTAAGTTGTAAATAAAAGAAATTACTTTTAAAACATTTCTCAAAATCCCTTTAACAATTCTAACCTAGATTTGAAATTTTCAAATGAGTGAATTTAACGCTTCTCGTTTTTTTGGACTTGTTTTATGTATGCATTAATAATTGTCGCTTTGTATTCGCTGAATTCCAGTGGATTCGTTAAGACAAGTCTCTTATTTTAATATAATATTTCCACCTCCTTCAATTTGTGGAACGCGTTTTAATGTTTTTAAAACAACTTACTTATAAATTTATTCTAAGCCGCTTCCGAACGTCCGATGTACTTTTATGAGGAAAGTTTATGTCCTGTCGGAAACATATTTGAGAGATCGAAGGGGCAACCGTGAGACTTATTTTCTAAAAACTTGAATGTTGGTCAAAGCAAGTCGTGGACCCTGACATTCAGAAATGCTAACCACTCGGTTATTGCGACCGTCAAACATGTTTGATAGTGCTAGGATTTGTGGAGATTAAAATGTATTCCGCTAGCCTTTAACGTACTATTTCTGATCTCCATTCAGAAGTTTATGGTTTGAAATTACCATATTATGAATAAATTAAATTAGTGCATTCAATCGGTTTGCTGAATCGACAAGGCAGTTATTAAAGCCGGAATTGAAATATACATGTAGAATAGAACAGTTTGATTATAATGTACATACATGCATACATTTAGGTAATAAATACTGGTCGTACAATCTACTATACATATGTATATATACATTTTCATCCCCTTACACTCAACTTGTTATATTTCATACTCAATGCTTTCCATTCGTTCAAAAGAGCTTCTAAAAGCTCTACAAGCCCACAAACTGACAGCATCTCATACATACATATGTATATTTATAAAAGCTATGAAAAGTTGTTTCACCAAGTGACAACCACCACTAAGATACAATTCAAATTTTGTCCTGCATAATTTTTCCTTCAAAACGGTATTTTTTCTGCAATTCACGGATGTATTTTCAATAACAAGTTGCATTTATAGTAGCAAAAGTATACGCTCATCGGCGGTCCGTTGTCCCATGGTCGAAAGGGTTGGCTGCATTCCCCTCCCAAATTGCAGCAAACAACACAACAACAATATAGATTCGAATGAATACAAACACATTCAATGAAGATTCAAAAGAATACAAACTATCAAAAGCTATGAGGAGGAGAAGTAGAGGGAACATTAGCGCTTACCCTATCTCACTCTACCTCTCACACTCAAAATGTTATAATTTCTCATTACTGAATAATCGCAATAACATCAATGATGATAAGCCTTGAAATTCAAATGACTTGGCATCACCTTTAGCTTTAGCTATAAAGACTAAAGGAGAGTATAAACAAATAAAAATGTGAAAAAGCAAGTTTAGTATAAACTTAACACACAAAAAGCTTGTGCCATTCATCCTCCTTGCCAGCACCGACAACCTTGTGGAACCAAGACGACTACTACTCATGCATAATTATCGTCCGTTCGTTCGCCGGTCTTTGGCACGAGAAGTTGTCGCTACCCATACACACATAACAAACATTGGTGGTATGTACCCAGTATAACACTAGCAAACACGAGTGGATAGATAACGAGCAGTAAATGCGATGGACCAAATGGCGAAGAAGAGGGCTGATGAAAGGCGCTAAGCAGAAGCAGTATGAACGCTGAAAATGAGTGTACTACGCTCGGCATGGCACTGACATGACAACCCCCTAAAATGCTCTATGTGACCCGTGTAAACGCCGTTAACAACCCCTGTTGCGGTGGAATAAGAGGAGTAGATGCACCAATAACCAATTCAATATCCGGCAACGTGAGGTAAAACAAGATTTGTCGGTTGCAGGATGCGAATGGTAAAGCTATAACAACAGCAAAAAAGCTTAAACAGAAAAGCAACTACAAAAACACAAGTAAAAACACTCTAAACGAAATTGGTAATGAAACGGAAACAGTGTAGTAACTCATAAATTGAGCACAAAAATGATGAAAAATTAAAATAAATAAATAAATACTAAAGGCGATTTGTCGTAAACCGTAGACATAACGCGCTCATGACATTGAGAATTTCAAACGGTACCGATGGGAACAACAACAACAACAACGAGACAACACACACGCAACATCATCAGTTGTTAGTGACCGCCTTTTTGTGAATTAATTTGTTTTCTAGTAACACCAAAAATGTTATTTCATCAGTTTCTTTTTTTCAAATATTATATATTGTAATGAGGAGAATATGCCAAATACGAATAACCGATAACTTCAACATTTCAGACTGCACTAGTATCGAAAATTCTGTATATCGTAAGAAATTTTCATTGCTGGGTACGAGCAATCGGTGAGGTATAAATAGAGTATGGAAGTTATATCCTATTTAGGGCGTATAATAAAGCACAATTATTGAGTAATAAATAAAAATTATTTGTTGTTTTCTTATTTAACAATCCACTTATCGAACTAGTAGGGTTTGGGAAATCATTGAGGCATATTCAGCGAAACTTCTTACAAATACTATGATATTTATTTCAAATATATTATTTAACTGCCTTTCCTGAATAACGTCATTGCAGACTTCAGTTTGTAAGGATCTTGATATTGAATTCATAAACCAATAAATGGAGACTGCTCTTTTTTTCTCTGCTACAAATGGCGGCATTGACATTGAAGATTTTAAAAGTAAATATCACAATGCCTTTTATTTTTCTTTTGATAAACTAAATCAGAAATCAAGCTGTGGGGACTTTCTAATATAGGCAAGGATACTTGTTCCAAAACCATTTCATGTAACCATTGTTGATGAAAGTGACTTAATATCCCACTTCTGATTTTCAGCCCTGTTCTTATAATTTGTGAAGAACGGAACGGCATGCTTTCACCAAGGCTTCCGAGGATAAATTTGTGAACTGCAAGAAATGGCAATCAACCGTAAAAGCTATTTTTGACCATATATGTAAACTTACGAGCTTAATGTAAAAATTCCATTAAATGAGGTGCCCGCTTTCGGTTATTCTGACGTAATTGCTTTCCAAACCCTGTGATGATAGAGTAGTAAGACACCAATGAGTTCTTCAAACTCACCGTTCTAGTCAATCTATTGATGCTCTGCAAGCAGGAGTTTAAATATCTTATATTTAGTACCAACACTCCTTCAGTAAATAAGCAACTGAAAATAAAAGAAAATAGTTAAAGAGTAATAAGTTATTATTAGCATTACTTTTACATGTAATAACTTATTCAACTACACAATCGAGTTATATTAATAACAGTTGAACATATAAGGCAGCTTTTTAGTGTCATTACATATTTTACCCACAATCTGCACATTGCTCGAGCATAAAATGATTAAACTTGAAATTTTCCAATTAAGCAACTTAGAAAGGAAAAATTCTCCTCTCAGCAATTAACAGCAAAGGCCAGAGACAACTTAAATGTACACTAAAAGTGGCGGAATAAAAAAACACGAAATACAACAACTACAATAACACTACATACATATGTCAACAATGAGGAGTAAAACAACAACAACAACAACTAAATATACCGCCAACTATTATTGGCCACTTCTTGTACGACCAAAAAAGGCACTCCGCTTGCCGCATTCCATTTAAAGAGTTAATCACGCTTGTGGTATGTGGTAGCAACGCCAAGGCATGAGGTGTTAAATACTCCAGTCCCGCACACCCAAACAAACGTTTAAAGGAGTACAAATATACAATATGTAGATATGTATTGCATACATTTAACAACATGTCGCTACAACATTTAGAACACTGATATTTACAATTGTACACAACGCGCTAAGCAACTGCACAAACAAACAAAAAAACTATAAGACAAAAAAAAAAATAAATAAATAAAAAACAATTTGGTATGGATTTGATTGTGAGAGCGTTTAGCTATTTTAGAAAATTGCACCAATGAATTACGTTTGGGCATAAAAAAGAAAACAGTTTCAATAAGGAAGAGCTAAGTTGGAGACATGGATGATGAAAATATTTGATGAGTCGGCGTTAGGAGTTTTCCAGAGAAAAGAATTGCCGCAGCCGATGGAATGATGAGCGTTATAAGATATACGGCAACATTTACATAGTTTGCCGAATCGGGAAACATCGGCTGCGCTAGCTAAGTCGTGTGGTCCGTATGGATAAGAATATTCCTCCGAGTACTTGAAAATGTAAGCAGAGGAAGGAGAAGACCTCTATTCCTTGAAGAGACTAGGTAGAAAAGAACCTGGCTCTACTTGATGTCTCTAAATACCGTCAAAAACCGAAAAAGAGAAATAAATGACTATAATCCCGTAAGCGGTGTCTACGCCAGTAAAGAAGAAGTTAGAATAAAGAAAATATATACCTATATCACTTAGTTGCCGTGCTAAGTAGAAGTCCATCTGCCTGTTTGAATGCGATTTAGTCCCTCAATTGATATGTTCAAACAACATTTGTCGCCTAAATCTTGTCATTGCATTAGTCGATTTAAGGAAGCAGCCAGCTCAGTTACCTGCTTTGTAAAGCTTTTTATACATACAAATAGACCACTTGCTGTCAGACTACTTCAATCCGCTATCTGCATCATAAGAAGCTAGTCAAACTACCAACACTCCTCGTCACCCGGACGATGAACATTTTATTTTTCTACTGTGAACAAACATGATACACCCAAGGAACAAATAATGCTCGGGTATGAAAATCTCAGTACATTGCGCACATAACTTAAAATCCCCTAAAGGATAAGCGTAACAACGGTGTAGATTATCTTAGTGCAAACATGTGTTTAATGTGTTGTTGCGTAGAGAAATTTGCGCTATGGGCGGGAAGAAAAAGCATCGGTTGCGTTTCGTCGGTCTACGCTTGCGCTTAGCTGGAACTTTAATGCATTAAAGTTCCAATCTTGGTTGAAAAGAAAAATTCCAAAACGATGCTACAAATGCACACACGTGCACGGACCATAAACAATTTGACGCGCTCGCCTGATATCTACAGGCTTAAGGTACGAGTAGCTTAAAGGAATATTAGTGGTGCATTGTTTAGGTCCTAAAAATGCGCACTTGTGACAAAGACAGTTTTCACATTTCAAATTACCTGACAATTATAGTTTGTTAATTTTTTATCGCTCGTCAAGTGGAGCGAAACGAAATGGTGTTTTTTCCTGGCTGTTAGTTTGTTTACTTGGCGTGTTAACAAATTGAAACACTCTTTCATGTCGATATATGTATATGAACTTATATGACTACACGTATGTCGACTACAGACGAAGTTAAGTTGGTGGTATTTGAGTGTTGTGTGGTCAATGTAGTAGATACATATGTTTAACTTTTTATTGAATTAGTTCCTGTTGCTTTTATTGGTGTTGGGAATTGTGAATAAGTTGGTTAGTTTATTACTATTGGATTTAGTTTCGTAAAGATGCTCGCGCCTGTACAGAAAGTATAGCCTTTTCTTCGTCTCAGTAGAAGCTTAAACTGGTACAGCATTCAATCAGAAATGTTAAAAACAATCATTGACATTACATATTCTTCTTTCTGGTTGTTGTAAACACTTCTTTTCGACATATGATCCTGATCTCACACGATTTAGTCATTCAATTGGCGTTGGCTCTAACGAAAAACTTATATTCCAACTACAGCCTAAACATAGCTTTTCCAACACACTGTGCTTTGAAATCACTAAATCGCGCCACTTGCATTTTCGCTCTAAGCACCACAATCATTGACATAATTCTCGCCCTAAATTTCAAATGGAAAATGCAAATTTATACATTTTTCATTAGCCCGCAAATAATTTTCGCAACTGTGAACGGAAACTGACATGTAACGGCGCTTTGATGGTAAACGTTTGATAGCAACAGGGTTGCAAGCAAATTTAAAATTTTTTATGGTTTCAAGAATTTTTAGGATTATTTAGAACAAATTTTAAAATAACGGTTTATTATGTATAAGCAGTGAATGTTAAGCAAAAAGCAGTAATTCCCAGAAGTAAAAAAAAAATTGAACATATTAAGCTTGGATATCAGTGATAGTTTGAAAGGCACTGTAAACTATATTTTAGATTATTCGTTATTCGACAGTTTGATACAAATGAATTAAAGCAAAAAATAATTTACTTCTTAAATAGATGAAAATGTAAATAATAAAAGTATTTAGCTTTATGACGTTTTTATTTATTTATTATAATTAATAATAAAATATAAAATCTTATAATTAAAACAAGGAAGAGCTCTGTTCGTTAATAAACTAGATTAAATGTGTTAAATTACCGGCTTTCATAAATGTTTCAAATAATATAATGTTTTGTTGGGAAGGTTCTTATTAGAAATAAAAAATTATTGATTATTGATTACTCTAATGCCAATGTCTTTTTGTCTGAGGCAATTGTTAAGAAGATGTTTCGATGGATGACAGACCATTTATGGAGTTTTTATCGTGAAGACTATCTAGTATACCTACCAAAACGGGCTTTTTCTTTTGAGGAGAACGCAAAGTTAATTGTCACCCGCCAACCCAAACGAGGAGCGCTGTCGCGGAGTAAACGAAAAATCCAACACACCTCTATTCGAAAAACCAGTGGCAGTCCAGACCAGTCAATCTGAGAGGCAGTGATTTATATTCCGGCGGTCGCTCTTTTAATATGCCTAAACCAAATCAAGCACAATCAACAACATTCTCCGAAAACTACTTTGGCGAATATTTTTGCGACTATAGCAACAACAATAATGTAATCGTTTTTTTTTTGAACAGCAAAGATTCTAAAGAAACAACAACCTCTATATACCAAAACAAGCATTTATATAATTTCTGTGTTGCTTTTACTAAAGGTATGTGTATTTACTTCCGTTAATTTAATAATTGGATAAATAAAGTGTTATTAAGCTACACACGCATATAATAAGGCGATATTTGTAAAATAATAAACTTTACATGAAATTGAATGCTTTAAATGTATATATATGGACATACATATATATTTCATAAGTAGACTCACATATTCAATTCGATATAGGGTAATATGTATGAATCATTTTAATAAGTTGTAAAAAAAAACGAAAACCATTGCTTACATATAAACAAAAATGCCAAAACAATTTTAAAGAATAACAACGCAATGTTTACTGCGCGCTGCCAATTATACACATTAATATGCACTAAACATAATTTTAATACAAATTTCAATTCATTTCTGGTTGAAGCAAGGTCAGAAATAAGCGAAAACACTCAACTTATTTCGCATTTTCACTGTTCAACAGCACTTTAACTTAGCATATATTTGGTTTTTGCTTTGCCGTTCCTAACTCAATACAGGTGCTTGTATTTCACGCCCCAATGCAGAGAGCTCCTTGAGGAAGAGTTTCGCATTGCTAAGCGTCGACGAGCCGTAGATAATGCGTTTATTTACATTCGCCGTTTGTTTTTGTTTGATGTGATCAACCAAATTTTGGTATTCAATGTAATTGCCACCACCCACTATGAAGACGACCGCATCTTGGAATGGCGCACGATTTTTTGGCAATACATCACCACCTTTCAGCAGCTTGGGGTCCAAGTAAAGATAATCATCAGTTTCCGAATTGCTGCGACACTCCATCACCTGCTCGGTGATTTTCGTTACGGGAAGACTCTGTTTAGGGGAATAAATGAAAAATGATTACCAATGAATGTGGGCAAATAAATGAAATAAAATTTATGTATTTACATGTCTTTTTACGACCAAATTTTTAACACCTTCCATCACAAATGATGAACCTTGCGATACCAACTTGGAGAACATAGATACTGTTCGCGTGCCACCACCTTCATACTGTGCTGCTTGACTCATTGCCGGCGAACGATTCATGATACCCTTCCATCGCTGTACATAAGCAAGTGGCGATAGATCACAGCCAGCCTCTTGCAACGCCTCCTTCATGCGTTCAAATTCGAATTCGGGCACATTTTGCGCACAAATATAATAAATGATGTACAAACGTAATTTATCTTCAGGCAAACCGAACTCGGGGTCTTTAAGCAATTCCAATAATGGACGATCGAGTGTTTGTTTTGACATAATTTTCTCCTCTAATTCAAAGAAAGAATCCAAGCGTCGCGCTTTAATATAATTTAATATTGCTGTGGCGATTTTTGTGTGCATATCAATGAGACGTTTCATTTCCATCAATTGTGGCAATGAATTGACAGCGTTAGTAAGACGGGCTGTGGTATCATTGACCATTGAGAAAGCCACTTCTGTTTCACCATCGATACCCATGGATGTTTTGAGACGTTTGATTTCCTCCTCGGAATTGCGATAAGATTCCAGCTCTTCTTGTATCGCTTCAGCGACAGTGGGGAATGGACTGCCTTTGTGTGTCATCCAAAATCGATCATTGCGATCGAGATCGCAGGCTTTGGGTTTCTTACGAGTGCCTAGAACGTGTATTAAATTGTGATTAAATTCTTTAACTAAACAACAGTACTATTCGTACCTGTATTCGTCGTGCCGTCATCCTCTACATACACCAAATTTAATCCCAATTCTAGCACATCATGCACAAGCGCTTGATATGACCATGTGTGATGCAATGGAGTTGCTAAATCTAAATTTCGGTCCAATAGCAGTAGTACGGGCCGTTGAAAACTAAATACACCACCGCCAGCTTGTGTGGCGTCCATGTGGAAAAGATTGGACCGTGAGTCCCATAAGTTTTCACGCAATTTTTTCTCCAATTTTCGTGCTACCATCTCTGCAGCACTATTACGTGGACAACGTATAATGGGTACATTGCCTAATGTGACAAATACAGCAAATAGTGAGTCTACTATGGAGTCCATCAATGCTTCCATTTCATCATCACGGGTATTTGCACGATTTATAGAATAGTACGATAATTGTTCACTTTTCTGATGTTTCAATATAAAAAAATCATCTTCTAAACTAATGAAGTTTACATATTGATCGTATACACGATGTATATTAGCCACGCAACCGGCTTGCAGGGCAGCTGCTGCTAAGTCTTCGATTTTTTGCCGTGTAATGGGTGCCAGAAAATTCAAATGATATACATCGTATAAGCCATTGCCGAAATCCTGTTGTATACGATCCAAGTTCTCATCGGTTGGCAAGCAAAAATAAACGGCAGGCACATCTGGTATAGAATCACGGTCGGAATGTAGTTGCCTGTAAAAGAAGTTCTAAATTTAATAAAAAATTGCATCAACACAAATTATACTGCTTTTAGCAACTCACACATGTAGAGTAACACCAAGTTCGCGTAACTCTTTAATTGAAATAATAGGCGAAATGATGTCCTGTCCTACTCGATCAAAGATTAGTATTTTCCACACAGGCTCTGCCGCTAATGCTTTCGGTTGCTGCACATTCAGATTGAGCATTTGCTTAATGGCATCTAAAAAATATATTTGTATAATTTTCAATGATAATCCTTTCAACTTAAGTTTGTGTATTTTATTTTGCAATTTCATGCCACTGAATCAACTAGACTTTGATACCGAGAATGCGGTGCACAAATCTAGCAAACTGTCAAGTTTCTCACTTACTGATTTGTCTGTCTCGTAAAGTTAACATGATGTGATGAAAAAAGTGGTAAATTTATAATTATTTATAGGCAAACTTTTATTTAAAAACAATTACTACTCATCAACTAATTTTTTTTACTAGTAATCAACTTTTTCACATATTTGACACAGCTGTTGAGCTGTCAAAATGACCATACCACGTATTCATTCTATCAATACGCAGGGTTGCAACGAAGTCGAAAGTAAATAAATAAACTTCAAAATAGTAGCAGAAGTTCTTATTGGAAGAAATCTAATTGCACATATTTTTATTAAATGGAGATAAATTAGAAATCATAAACAAATACCTACATACATAGAAAAAATTTTGCTCAAACACATTTTTTTGTTTTGTAATGTAAAATATTTCAATCAGAAAAAGTTTTAGAAAAAGTAAGTGATGTAAAAATTACTTTAATCTATCTCTGCTGTCAAAAGACGTATATTAATGTAAAATATTTCAATCAGAAAAAGTTTTGGAAAAAGTAAGTGATGTAAAAATTACTTTAATCTGTCTCTGCTGTCAAAAGACGTATATTAATACGGAATTAATAATTTTAAATTTTGCCCTCGAAAAAGACTTGAAATTATATATTATTTTTATTATTTATGTAGCTACTAACCTTACTTTAATAAATGGATATGAGTTGCCCAAAAAGCGGTCAAACCTTTCTAACAAATCTTTTTTCAAGAAATAAAAACCCACTTGCATGCAATTAAATTCTTTCGTATTACAAAAGTTGTATTCCCAAACTTTTTTATATTTTAATTATTTACTTTAATAAATAAACGTTTTGTATTATTTTAAAGAATCCATTTTTATCACTAGTAGTTTATTATGGTTGAATTTTAGATGTATAAAAATACATTATAGTAAATGTTATATTCTAGAGGGGACCCTCCCCTAATTTTAGAAATCATGTTTCCGATGTAACTTCAATCCCCGGGCTAGATCTATCCGTCCGATTTCTTTTGAGTAAAAACTCTTTCAAAGTATACAGTTTTCTTTACGGTTTGAGCCTAAGATGAGCTTTCATTACTAATTTTATTTATTTATTTATTTGAAACATAATAATAAATAATTATATTACAAAAGTAGAGACACTAGCTACTAAGGCTATCGGCCTTTTGTTATTAATATTTTTAAAATTTTTTATATATTTTTAACGTAGTTGAAGTGAAAAAAATAGCAAAAAATTCAAATTTTTATTGCAATGGGCGTTATGCAATAAATTTATCGTTAACACTATTACAATTGAGGTTCAGTATGTTGAAACTTTCATGACCTTCAAGTTATGATGATAGGATTGAAGTTGTTTGGCCAAGTTTTTTACGCAAATGCCGACGGAAAGCGGATTTTTTTTGAATTTCTTCTTCTTTTTTTACCGCTTTCCATCTAAAATAATAAACAATTTTAATAGTATATACCGAAAGTTCGTGCGCCTTTCATTCTCTCAGAAAAAAATACAAACTTTGCCCGATTTTTGCCCAATATCAGGGGAGGGTCCTCTTAGATGGAAAACTTTTATATCAAAAGTACTACGATACTAAAAAGAAGTAGTTTCTCTAAAATTTTTGCTAAATTTTCATTTCGTTCATTAAAAATTAAAATTTTTGACTTTATTAAAAATTATATTAAACAATAAAAAAATATATTAAAAATATATATTTAATATTCTTAAATTGCCAATGGTTTAGTTAACTTACGATTTTTGCTTCAATATTTAATGTGTATATAATATTGTATAATGCCGAAAAATCATTCAATGCCAATTTATTATTGAGTGCAAATTCTTTCCCTTTATTTATTAAGAAAATAACTTTTTAAAAATTAAACTCTCCATGATGTGTATAAAAATGAAGTACCGACTATAACTTCTAATAATAATTTTTTTTTATTTTTAAATATTCCTTGTCATGTTTCTCTCAAATGTTTTTCCTGCACTTTTCAGAACGTTTCCCATTACGTTATCAACTGTTATCGCGTGGCATCATTGCAAAGTTACAGTGCCTCTCAAAACGCTTAAATTATGAATGTGGAGACTTTTCTAATAGCGTTTACAGTCTCGCTGATATTTCCTGCCAGTCTTTCGAAACATGGCGGAGTAATAAGACGTTTAAATCGTGTAGTTTGTTTATTGCTATGTGATAAAATAATTAATTAAAAGTCATAATAATATAAGAAATACGTTCTGTAAAACATCCTTGTGTATAACTCTATGCAATGGTGACCAGATAATAAAAAAATAATTATGCTGATAATTACAATTCCACTAAAAAAATTCGATGATTCGTATGTGTTAGACGAAACGATTGTGTGGCTCATTACCGTCTGACTACCGTGTGAAATGCGATTGCAATTCGTACGAATATGTACTTACATATTATTTATATGCTGAAACATAAGTGCGCTTTATAAAATAATAGCAAATTGAAAATCGAAATATAAATATTTTTAATAAAGTTAATAAAAGAATGCATTTAAGCTGAAGCAGAAATAGTACAAAACAAATCGTGCGCGTGATTGTGCGACAATTCTTGTGTACGTATAGAAGTTAGTGCACTATTTGAACGGTGGAAAATGTGTCTGAGCACAAGTGGTAAATGCAATAGCATTTTTCCATTGACCACAGTACCATATCTACGGAATGGTGCTAAATTCAATTTTATATTAATACTTTTATTGAATCTTTTGCTGAATTCACGTAGTCAACTGCTAATCAACGTACAAAATCAAGTGGGTTAAATTCATTTATAATCATTATTTATTTAATTTCTTTATAAGTATGTATAGTTTAAAGCGTTATCTATATATGTGTGTATGTAAGAATGTTTTCACGAATATGTTCCAGGAAAACTGGTTTTCAATATTATATATACATACATATTTCTTATCTCTTGAAAATGCTCTACGGAACAAAAATATGAAATTCACTGATATGTTTAAAGTCTTTTACTTAGTCGCCTATAGCTAAAAAAGGTACGTTAATGTGAATGTTTATTCATTTGTGCGTTAATATGAATATATATGAAGAAATGTATAAAATATAAATAAAAATAAAACCAGATACTCTCAGCTGACATCCACAATAGCGCATTCGCAGCTCTCCAGTAGTTGTCGGTGGAAGTCTCCATAAATTCGCCGAATCGGTTCGACGGAAGAGAATAATAAAGCAAATGAAAGAAAACACTATCTAAATGAACTAAACGTAGATTTGTATTTGTTTGTTATAAATGTAAAGAAATAGTAATCATTACAAACTGCATAGCAAACATTATACTAATATATATGTACATATGTAGTTATCTTCCATGGTTGTTGGATTTTAATTTTCAGCGCTAATTTTGGAGTAGTCATTTTGCTTTATTATCTTTGAAATGTTTAATATCTTCGATCGGTCAAGAGAGGTTGTAAAAAAAAATTGCCTTCAGTCATAGCAATTGCATGTTCATGTGACAAATTTCGGACTTTCATTTCAAAAGCATAAAAAATTTCAAGGAAATAAAATTTATTTTTTTGGAATTTAAATTTATGGAAATTTGCTTACTTTACAATAATTTATCAAAAAATTTTCCTTGAAAATCCTCAAATCCTTTGACAGTAAATTCAAGAGGACTAAACATTGCTAGTGCAGCACGACCAATTGAAAATTAAATTCTAAAAAACGAATTTAAATAAAATTTGGACAAATCGAGTTTGGCTTATCTTCTACCGACTCATGGGGACTAAAATTTTTGTGTAACAGTATGTTTTCTCCGATAAAGTAGTTTTATGTCTTTCTTATGGCGAGTTTAGTCTCTGAAATAAATGTTTTTTTGTTTTTCCTCTTATATGCTTGGTCAAATTCCTATATAAAAATAATTTCCGTTCCAGAAGTTTCTTACTTGTTATGGTGCGATTCGAGCGGAGAGAGCTCTCCGTATTAAAGATTTTTGTTTGTATTTATTAACTTATTTCACTTACATTGCGATCAGATGTTTTCATTATCTCATTTCACCTGAAATTTTTTGTTTTCTTTTCTAAGCTACCGCAATAGGCATTTATCTTGGTTGATTTAATTTAATTTAATTTTATTGGGTTCCCGGTGTCCGCGGAAGCCGAGTGGTTCGCTTTGCGTACTGCCATTTGGAAAGCCAGGGCTCAACTACTGGTTCGAACAACATCCAAAAGTTATAGAAAATGAATTTAAATAAGAAATTAAGTTAAATTTTCTAATTGCCGTCGCCCCTCAATAGGGAATACCCCAGCGAGTGTATTTATGGCATGAAAATTAAAAGCTCCGCATAAAAATCCATCGGCCGTTCGGAGGCTTCTTAGAATAAACTGTGTGTCCCGTCACTTGTTGGCAAATCACCAAGGCGTAAAATACAAGTGAAAGGAGGAGCTCTACCGAAAACAGCTTCAGTAGATACAAAGCTCCAATTGGGCGGCATCTCAGAAATAACCCGTAAATAGATATATATTTTTGTTTAGCAATGTGAAGATGTGCCGGTACCACATTTTTTTTGTATATTTTCATAAAGTGATTATAATTATTGCCTCCTGTGGAATGATGGTCCTCATCATTTCTCTCCTTCGCAGTCTATGAGAAGTTGGTTTACTGTGAGTACTAGTTGAAGTGTACTGTGTGGGAATTTAAAATCAGCCGCTTGCTTGCTATTCCTTTATAAGAATGAATCGAAAGTGTAACGAAAGCGACGCGAAAGCTCATTATGAAATTTGATAAGAATGAATGAGGGTCTCCCTGACGGCGCCATCCACAATGTTGTTGTTGTTGTTGTAGCGGATTCGCTAACCCCGCTTAGGCACAGGCTTGAGTTAGTCTAAGTCGTCGAGGTCCTCTAAAGGTAGGCCCAGGAAACGAGCTGTTTCGACGGGGTCCATAGCCAAGTTTAACTATTAATTCTGAGTTTGTGCTTTACATTTAGACATTTTCGTATGAAAAAGCTTAAAATTGAATCAGTGAAAATGACGGTTGATGTTATATTTTATTGGTTTTTAACTAAATAAATTGTGTCATTACAAAAAACAATTGTTTAAAGAAATAATTCATGTTAAAATAAAAATGTAAATAAATCAAGTCAGATGAGTAGGCTTTAAGGGGCATGCAAAACGCGTTTTGTGTCATGCTTGTACTCATGGCATGCGGGAAATACGTTGGGTATGTATACCTCAATAAAGCATCAAGAACATGAAAATTTGTATTCTACACACATACATACAAATAATTGCACATTTTACGTCGAAAGTCATTGAATTTGGGTCACTATATCATAGCTCGCATACAACCTATTTGTTCAAATATGAGGTTTCGATACAAAAATCCGCCAAAAAAGCATTAAATAACATGAAATTTAGCATTCTAAGCACACCGAAAACCAGAGAATCCCGAATTTTTCATCATAATCATAAAATGAAATGCCATAAATTTGGTATCGTCATGAAAGGTTTACATATGCATGTTCATATGTATATAAAGACTTTGGCTTGACCAAAGGCAGCCATTTTATTATTCTTAATTCTTTTCTCTTATTTATTTTTTATTTTTTCCCTTTATTTATTTTTTAGTTTGTTTTCTTTTATTTATTTTTTAATTTTTTTTCATCGTTTTTTTTTTTTTTGTATTTGCTTTAATGTTTATTCGCTTAGTAACTCTGTATATTTTTAAAATTTATTTCTAAGTTTTCTTTTAATTTCCAAATTTTTTTTTTGTATGTATTTTTGAATTTTTTATGCCATGGCACGAATTTAACAAGCTGAAGTGATTACTGCATCGGATTCTACTTTTTTCATTTAGGTATTGAACGCCAAAATTGTCAAAATAATAATAGTTTAGTTTTGTTATTGTTTACTGGTATTTCATATAATTTTCTCTTTTTAAAGCCAAAATCTTCAAGATTGTGATTAAGTGATTCTGGCTTGCGCAACAAAAGAGTAGAATCGAGAGTTAGTGAATTTTAAAAAGCCAATGAATTTTCCCTTATTTTGACAATAGAATTATTATATTGGGTTGCCCAAAAAGTAATTGCGGATTTTTTAAAAGAAAGTAAATGCATTTTTAATAAAACTTAGAACGAACTTTAATCAAATATATAATTGCCATTTTGTTCGATAACCTTTTGCCATCTTCCTGGCAAATTTAGTATTCCACGCTCATAGAACTTCTGGCCTTTATCTGCAAAAAACTGAACCAAATGCGATTTTATAGCCTCATCATTGCCGAAAGTTTTACCATTTAAGGAGTTCTGCAAAGATCGAAATAAATGGTAGTCCGATGGTGCAAGGTCTGGGCTAGATGGTGGATGCATCAAAGGTTCCCAGCCAAGCTCACTCAGTTTTTGGCGAGTGACCAAAGATGTGTGCGGTCTAGCGTTGTCCTGGTGGAATATGACACCTTTACGATTGACCAATTCTGGTCACTTCTCCTTGATGGCTGTATTCAATTTGTCCAATTGTTGACAGTAAACATCCGAATTAATCGTTTGGTTCCTTGGAAACAGCTCAAAATATACGACACCCTTCCAATCCCACCAAACAGACAGCATAACCTTCTTTTAGTGAATATCAGCCTTTGAAGTGGTTTGAGCTGGTTCACCATGCTGCACTAAAGTTGTTGTAAACAATCCATTTTTCGAATTCATTGCGTTTAAGGTGCATATCACAAGCGTTGATTCGGTGTGTTAAATGAATTTCTTTCAATACATGTGGTACCCAAATATCAAGCTTTTTCACCAGTCCAAGACTTTTTATGTGATAATGAACGGTTGATTTTGGTATATTTAACTTCTCTCCTATCTCACGCTCAGTTAAATGACGATCCAATTCGATTAATGCTTTGATTTGGTCATCATCAACATCATTTGGCCGACCTGAACGTTGCTCATCTTTAAGTGAAAAATCTCTAGCACGGAATTTGCGAAACCAATTTTGACACTGTCTTCCTTTTAAGGCTTCATCACCATACACATCTCGTAACTTTTTAGCAACCTGCACCGCGTTTTTTCCTTTACGGAAATAATAAAGTAAAATTTGACCAAAATGCTCCTTTGTGGGCTCCATATTAAAATTGACGCCAAACAAACAAATGTAAACAAAATTTCGTCAAAGATTGCTAAAAAGCTAATTATTGCTGCTTGCATACTTTAGTTGAAAATTTTTTGTATAAATAAAAAAAATATATGTATATACATACAAGGGGCAGCTGAGAAACTTGCCGCATAAAGTACTGAATGAAGCAATGTATAGTTTTATGTTTTTTTTTCTTAATATGGCCCCTTTAAGTAAAAAATACTTTTAACATTGTGAATGCAATGCCTTTATACCACTGAAAAAATATTCTTTAGATTTCTCTGCAAAATGATTTTCGGCAGCTTTCATCATACTGTCGTCTGAAAATCTTCGTACCCGTAATAGCTTTTATAAATTAAAAAAAAAAAGAAAAAAAAAAACAGATAAAAGTAACAGGAGACCAGATCTGGACTGTAGGGTGAATGATCAATTTTTGTAAATCCAGTATCTTTTAAGTCAGCTTCGACTGGCCGCTCATTGGAGTTCCTTTTGACAAAAAAATTGTAGCCATAATCTTTGACGCCAACTTCTCCAGTTTGAATTTTTTTTGGTGACCTTACCCCTTTTTTTATCCGGTGCATCGACTCCAGTTTGGAATCGGGATCATACTGACGAATCTAAGTTTCATCAACTGTTACGATGCGTTTGCAAATTCGATTCAAATCATCGTGGCACAACGCCAAAAAAGCTTTACAGCTTTCCGAGCATGTTGAGCGGCGAGAGCATTCGCGGTACGCAACACGCACTAATTATTTTTATATTCAAATGTTCATAGAAAATCCCTTTAATTAAATCTTTGCTAATCTGTAATCCTTCTGCTAACTGCCGCAATGCGACTCTTCGATCAGTCAGTACTAATTTTCCGACTTGCTAAATATTTTCTACGGTCACGATCTCACTAGGCGCATGGGCGGCTTGTTGTTGTTGTTGCAACAAAATTATTCCCCTAAGTATTTTTTGGGGAATGTTGCAAGAGTAAAAGATCTTGGCTGGATAAAAATCCGGGTCGTTCCGGTGTAAAGACCCAACTGTCGCGGGAACTATTGGATTTTAGTCGCCACTTACGACAGACATGCCTTACCGCGGGTAAATTCTTGAACCCCTAACCCGCAGAGGGGGGTCATCTTCACAGCTGTCTCTTCCTTGTTGAAATAGCAGAGCCCATTATTTCGTATATGAAAGGAGCAGAGTCCTGAAGAACCGTTGACATCTCTTTAAAAATTGCTTCCTTTTTTGCAAGGGGTTTAATCACTGCACAGTCCTCCAAATTGTGTTTCCCCAGTTTTCGTTGACATTGTGTGGTTGCTTGTTTTAGGAACGGGATGTTAATGAACCTAAAAAAAAAGTTGTGTTATCTATACTAATAATGAGTCCCGCCATGTGTCCTCTCCAACTACCTTAGGACGCGATAAAAGTCACCCGCCCCTCGTATATCTCTATGAATTTGAAGCTGCTTTTGATTTTACTAATTTAATGCGCGAACAAGCCCGAAAAAAAATCTAAAAATATATTTTTTTTTATTTCTGTAGCTATTATAAAGACTTGATCTTAAATTTAAAAAAAAAATCTACGCAAAAACTCTTGAAAGTCGCTCTCTTTCGTCTTCAATAATGATTTTGTGCACTGAATTTTTCTTTGTTTCTTTTTTTTTTCTTTTAAAGACAATTCCACGTTTCGCCTTACACGCACAAACACTTCTTATAAAAGAAAAACAGTGTTCCAAAATGCATATAAACTTTGGATACTCAAGGTCGCGTTCTATCTTCGCCATGCCACAAAGTAAACTTGAGATTTACTTGCTTTATTGACCGCCTTGCACGTGTGCAAATATTTGAATTTTACAAATCTTTTACTCCATAAAAAAACGTGCAACCATGAACTCTATGTCGTTCCGCTTTCAGCAGTTCATTTATTGCATTTTTTTTTATCTGGCAACGCCTATTGAATGCCGCCTCTTGGCGAAAACCCATTACTTACATAGTACATACGTATCTACCTGGTTGGAGGGGTGTCGTTGTGGCGTGCTTGGCAAGTGTATTTAATATTCACTTTCGTTGATTTTCCCTAATGAGCCTCGAAAGCTCGCACACACACACCCACAAACCAATATGATTTTCTTTCCAATGCCTTTGTGTTGCTTTTGTTGCTATTAGCAAAGTATTTACGCTGCGGACAGCTTAAATTAAGCTATTGTTTTTAGAATAATGATGGTTATTTTGTACACCAGCGTTCATAATAACGTGGACATCGAAATTATTATTATTTTTATTTATTAATTCTAATTAATGATAAAAGCTGCTACGGTCTCTTAGGAGTTCTACTGTTGTTAATATGGTTCTTACAGCAGTTCCGCAAGGCTAACCGCATGTTCAGGAGACTGCCTGCTTTTCAGAGCTCTAGTTAGAGATGTGTAGATGTATAGGGCTGCTAGATGAGTTGGTGCTGCTCTTACGACGTTTTCCAAAGATCTAACGGTTATAGCCCAAGTAACTTCTAGTAAGTGGCAGACCACCGACATCAGGCGCCATGTTATTCTTATTAATTGACCGAACCGATATTAGCACCGCATTCATCACTTCTTTTCGCTGTTTGGCGCTAGTTGGAATTACGTAGTCTTCCTCTTCCTCTGCTACCACCAGCGGGTACTGCATCGAGTGGCGTAGCCACTGTCACTTCATTCGATGAACTATGTCAATATCATCATACACGTATAGTAGCTCGTACATATCATCGTTTCATCGTCTGCGATATTCGCCGTTACCAATGCGAAAAGCACCATAAATCGTTCGCAAAACTTTTCTCTCGAAAACTCCCATCGCCGACTCATCAGATGATGACATCGTCCACGTTTCATCTACAACATTGGATACATGTCTTCTGTCTATCACAACAGAATCGATCTGGTTGAGAGTTTGCCCAACGGAGACAGCCAAGTAGCTTCCAGAATTTTCTTTTGCTTGAATCTAGTACTAGAGACAACCATATTTCGAGCCCGGGCGAAGTCCATCAGCCTCAACCCATTCGAGAATGTTTCGTTGTGATGGCTGAATTTTCTTACAGTTGAGCCGAAGTTAACTTCATTGCCCACCCTAGCTTTTAAGTCGCCAAGCACAATTTTGACATTGTCAGCGCTCATAAATAGGTTCTAGGCGATCGTTAAAGGCATACTTGGTCACATCGTCCTTCTCTTCCGTCAAGGTGTGATGTTAAATTTGGTTTTGATGCGAAATGTGGCAAAACGTTCATCCACCGCGAAAACATTTCTTACTTGAGTGAAC